TCACAGATTCTTTAACACGGGCCAGTGAGATGGTTGTCTCAGCAACAATAGGCTCTCACCCTTGAGCCTGATGGCTTGAGTTCCATTCCCGAGACTCACCTGGTGGAAGTTACGAGCTGAGTCCCTCAGGTTGTTCCTCTGCCCTCTGTACTTCCAGTGTGGCGTGAACCCCACCGCCACCACATACACATACAAAATGAATAAATAAATATGCTAAAAAGATCATAGGATAGAGCTCAACAGTTAAGAGCTCTTGCTGCTTTTCCTGGGGGACCTGAGTTCGATTCCCAGCACCCACATTGAGTGGCTCTCAACTACCTGGAAATCAGCTCTAGGAGATCTGATACCTTCTCTTGACATTTGAGAATGTATGCGCACACAAACACACACACACACACACACATACACACACACAAATAATCCTTAAGATAAAATCCTTTAATTCTAACGGCCTGAAAAATCCCAAGCCTGCTAGACAGCAAAGGGAAGGCCTTGCTCCACCACAGCTCAGCACACATGCTCCTGCCAATCACTTTTATCCCAGCAGCCCGGGTTGTGTGTGTGTTCCCCAAATATTCATTGTCCCAGCCAGTGCCCATGCTTCCACCATAAAAAAGACTCTGTTTCTTCTGGTCAAAGGTTTCAGGATGGATGCCTTGTATTATGATCCGCCAGTATCAAAAGAGATCAGGTAGCCCTGGTCAGTGGCCTATGAAGAGATTTCCTTTACAAGCAGAGAGAACTAATAAACCATTGTCGGAGGCGTAGATGTTCCGAGGCACTCAGATGCCTAAGCTCTGTCTCTGTCTTAAAATATCCAAAGCTTATATTCACTTCTTTCCTTGGCACCCATTTTTAGGTTTCATACAGCCTCTTTTGGAGAACAAAAGTCTGCAAAGTTCTCATTGAGGTCAGGCTTGTAAATTTGCTGTAGTCATTTTTCAAAAGTAATTTTTTTTCCTAGTAACATATAGAGGAAACACAGGAAAAATCCTATTAATACCAAATCTCTCTCTCTCTTCTTCCTCTATAACAGTGGTTCTCAACCTGTGGGGTGCGATACCTCAAGACTTGAACAACCCTTTTACAGGGGTCACACGTAAGAGATGCTGCATATCAGATATTGACATTATGACTCATAACAGTAGCAACGTTACAGTTATGAAGTAGCACCAAGACTAATCTTATGGTTGGATGATCCCCACAACACGAAGTAGGGTGTATTAAAGGGTCATGACATTAGGAAGGTTGAGAACCACGGCTCTATAATTTTATTTACTTATTTATTTAAGGTCTATATATATATATATTTTTTTTTTTTTGCCGTATTTTGAGGCAGGGTTTCCTCCCTGAACCCAGAGCTCAGCAATAATTAAGTAGAGGGCCATGAGTTCCCGGGATCCATCTATCTGCCCCCTACAATGCCCACCATCCTTGGGTTGTAGACATGGCCACTTTTTTTTGAACGTGCTGAGGACCTCAGCTCAGGCCCTTATGCTTACAGCAAGTGCTGCAGAATGAGCCCGTCTCCTCCTCCAATGATGTGATTCAACAAGCTTCTAGTACTCTCTCCATCCATCAAACATGACTGTCAATGTTGGGTGGACTTGAGGTGATTCAGTCTGACAGCCTGGTCATCATCCCCCTGTACTAGTGGGGGACTCTTCAACCCAGAACTTATGAGTGTGAGGGTCAGACTTGGTCCTGCAGATCCATCATGTTCGGATGCTTCTCTTTGAGAAGATGGGCAAAGGAATTAGTGGGAAACACTTACTCGTGTCCGGGGTGAGAGGAAGGAAGACAGACTCTGAATGGAGAATCCGAGTGCCCTTGTTCTGGTGGCCGAACCGTCTTATCAATCATCTTGGATTTTTTCCCACAGGCCCAAGGACCAGGTACATCTGCACTAGCTTACTTCTGAAATCCTCTGTGACATTCTTGACTTCCTCTACACTGGTTCACTTCTTTTTTTATAGCTCTCACCACCGTATTGATGCTTTTTTGTTTTGTTTTGTTTGTATGGCTGCTCTCCCTGGCTCCTAGATTATAAACAACAAAGAGGCAGGACGTGGGTGCAGTTTGCAATGTTGTTTGGTTCACTGATCTCTCCCAAGCACCACCACTTCTGACACATGTTAGCATCTAAGTTAATAACATTAGTTGAGAGGAAAGAGCTGGAGAATTCTGTTGGCAAGGGGGCTCCGGATGTCACTCAGTAACAAGCACGAAGTCCTTGGTTCTATCCACAACACTACATATAGATAGCTGGGAGTATTGGCTCACTTCTCTTAAGTGGTCCCCTGGAGATGGAGGCCACGGGATCAAGATCATCCTCAGATACATATTGAGATGGAGGCCAGCCTAGGCTACAAGAGACCCAAAGCACTGGGCTATGAGGACCTCAATGCCGGTCCTGTGTCCTGCGTTGGTCCAAGATTGCCCTACCTGTGTTCTGAGAAAGGAAGTGATTGAAAGATTGAACACCCCATCTACACTCTGACCTAATCTTCCCTACCGGGTGAAGTTTCTCAATTTTGGTACTGAAGTCTTCCGGTATTCAGACAATTGCTTCAGCTCTTTTCTCGCTACAGTTTTGTACAGATAACTGTAGAGTTCAGACAGGAACACTTTCCTTCAGCTAGGTGAGGAGAAGCAAACCTGTCTTAAGCTAAGCTCCAATATTTTTAGTGAGTTTTGATTTATTTTAAGTTTATTTTTATTTGTGTGTGGGTATGAAGGTCAGTGGAGTTCAGATATATCGGATCCTCAGATCCCCTGGAGATGTAGGTACAGGCAGCTCAGTCATCCGACATGGGATGCTGGGAAGAGCAATAGATATTCTTATCACTGAGCCACCTACTCAGCCCTGATGTGTATTTATGATGCATCAAATGCAGAAAGGTTTATTTTTTATGTTATGTGACATAAAAAAAAAAACTGTCACAAAGGAGGCAGGAATGGACCCCGGAGATGAAAGAGAGCATGGGCTTTATGGATGGGCTTCCCAGAAATCAGCAAAACAAGAACACAGTAGAAATTTCAGCTCAATGCCTTCCGTTCTGTTCTATTTCTTTTTACATACTAGAATTCTAGTTTACATACTAGGGCACACTCAGGCCCCCTTTGGGGGAGACACAAACAGAGCAATTCACTTGACTGAGGTGTGCAATTAATCTAAGGTCATGTAACTTTCCTTTCATTTGGTTCCTGGGTATACAGATGAGGTTCTGAGGTTGGGGGGTGGGGCTTGTGGATCTGTTGGGTAGAACCTTCATAAAGGGTTACTACTTTCCAGTTTGGGATTGGGGACTAGGTAAAGGGCATTTTGCCCAATTTTCGCCTTGTCACACCATCAGAGAAGCTAGGCAGTGCCACAACCCCACAGCAACCATTAAAACAGCATATGTATCACCCAGAATAATGACCCCAATGGCTAACCTCACACCTGTCTGTCCAAGAAGGCATCAGACAAACCACTGTGTTCAGCTCCTCCTGGGGAATCTTTATGTATTAGCTAGCTCCTCTCAAAGAAAACTATTCTCTATTAAAATGTAAAAATCACCTACCAACAAGGCAAGTATCGGTGTAATATACAGGCAAGTTCAATCACTTGCCAGTTTTACAGCTTATTCCAAATTTTGAGTTGGTATCCACATCTCACCTAAAATGATTTAAGAATCAATGTACATGAAAGGGGCTTTGATAAGTGGACATGATTGGCACACAGCTATAATCCCAGCATTTAGGAGAGAAAGGCTATTCAAGCTCATCCTAGGTTCCAGACCATAAGATTCTTGAAGAGCTCTCAAAAAACAGAAGGACTCTAGGGTTAAAAGCACTTGCTGCTTTTGCAGAGGACCCGTGTTTGGTTCCTCACCTTTAACTCCAAATCCAGGGCACACTCACTCAAAATAGCTTTCAAGGGCTTTCACAACACCGATTGATTATTATCCCACAGGTTAGGACAGTTATCTTAATGTTAACTATCTGAAGAAGTGGTTGCTAACCTGTAGAACCCACAAATCCATCTCCTTCTACCAGGTGGGAATAGCACCCTCCCCCACCAGAATCCCACAAAGGCCCAGAAGTCCACCTAGGAAGGAAAACAGAGACTCGCATCATTTAACTGCTATTTATTTTCATAAACATGAGGTATTTCAAAGTGCTATAAGGTGCAGCACTAAATATATACATTTTGAAGAAATTAAACACAGAACTTTGCCATTTTTACCCAGTTCTATGCACCAAACATGAACAAATACAGTAACAAGGAAGAAACAGGCTAGGAAAAAAAAAAGGAATATATATATAGTAAAATTTCTTTACAAAAGTTTCTTAGTTCAAAAAGTGATAAAGTAATATCTACTCAAAACTTTCACAACTCATTTTCATACGAAAATATAAGTATCAAATTTAGTTATGTATCAGCATCATATTAAAGTATACAGGCCGTGTAGGAATTAGTACAGTACATAACAGATTAACAATATATTTGTATACAAAACATGCTCCTCAAACATTGAGGTATTCTTACAGTACTTAGGTGTGAACTTCCAGTCTAATACTGGCCGCAAGAGCCACCTCTCATTACCCAGGACGTATACAAAAGGCGGTGTATCAATGGTATTTACACAAGTGTTCCCAGGGGCATCAAATGGCAAACCCCCTTCTGTGGCGTCTGCTGGAACTTAAGCACCATTGTAAAAAGAAGGAATGACTGTTTGGAAGCTTGGACCAGAACAAGGTGACTTCACAGCCTCCTGAAGCTCCCAACTGTCCCGGAACTTCCATGGCTGTCACCAGGTGATGTGGAGGAGGAAACAAGCCACCCAGCATCCCAGAACTCAGTTTCCCCACCCCCACCCCCAAGGTCATGGCAGAACCCCGTGTCCTGCCCCCTACTCAGATCCAAACTCGACAGGAGAACGATTTGAAAGTAAACCAACATTCTTAATGTCAACACAATGTTTGTTAAAAAAAAAAAAATCAAAATGTGCAAAGTGGCAGTGACTGTCCGTGTGAGAAGCGTTTAGCAAGTCCGAGCATGTTCGATCTTCTTTAGCAGCTGCTGCTGCCTGGCCTGCAGTTTCTCCTTTTCCAGCAGGAGCTGGTGCTCGTTGGCCTGCAGGGCATGGACGTACTCGGTGGCTTTTTTCAAGATGACCACCTTGGCAGCCTTCTCGTTCTTCACCAGCTCAGGCACATGGTCCCTGAGCGTCAGGAAGCTGGAGCGCAGGTCGTTGCGGCGCTGGCGCTCCAGGATGTTGTGGTTGCGGCGTCGCTCGCTGTCCTCCGAGTCCGAGTTTCGGGGGCTCAAGTTCTTAGCTTTCGCCGGGACAACATTCTTGAGGGGGCGTGGAGAAGCCTCGCTCTTGAGTTTCTTCTGCGGTGGTGCGTCCTCGCTCTCAACATAGGGTGAGGGCGCTGCGTAATTGTGCTGCTGGTGGATGGGAACACAGCGCTTGAGGATCAGCTCGCCAGCCTGTGCTCGCCCCACACCCAGAGCTGAGGTCTTGGGACGCACAGTAATGGTGAAGGTGGTGACAGCCTTGTTATTAGAGGAGGAGCGTCTCTTCTCCACGGTGACCACATCTATTTCCTCCTCTTCATCTTCCTCGTCGTCATCTTCATCATCTTTAAGGTAAAAAAAATTCAGGTAAAACATTAATATACACACCATTATTTGGGTCTAGGGACAGAACCTAGATAGGTTTGGACAAGATGCACACACACACACACACACACACACACACACAGAGAGAGAGAGAGAGAAAATATTCCTTCCCCAGGTTTCTATTCTCAATTTCTACGGAAGGCTTTAGCAAGTGAGGTGGGGCCAGCAGAACACTTACCTAGCATGGAAGGACAACCCCCAAAACCCTCCACAAGTTAGATCCCTGGTGTCAAAAGTAAGACCAAAAAACTTTGACCAGGTGGCAGAACTCCAAGAACCTGGGTTTGAGTCACAAGAAACAATTGGCAGCGGGATTCTGCAAACGGTTAATCTTCCTCCATCCTCAGTTTCCCCAGCTATTCAATGGGGGTAATAGCACAGCGTTTGAGTTTGGCAGACAATATGTAGGCTTGGCGACAGATGCTCTGTAATAGGAGCTTTTAGCATAATCACCAGCCAGTCTGCCCCATGGATTTATTTATACACACTTCCACAGCCACCCTTCAGACTGGAGGCTCCTCATTTGGTGAAAACACATGGCTGCGTTTGATTTTTCCATCCTTAAACTCGAGGAACAATTTCATTGACTACGAATAAACAACCTTTGCTCCAGGAGCTCTACTCAGGAAGCAGTTTTTCATCTCGGCAAAGATCAAATCTCAATTACAAAGCTCTAATCCACAGTAGCTACACCTCATCCCAACGGGAGCAGCGCCCAAGCAGCAACAAAAAAATCCTGTTTTCTGACTCCTCGTTTACGCGCATGCTAGGAGAGAAAATTACGGTTTTAAAAAACTGCAAGCATGAAAATCAAAACATCTTCTGCTTGATCTAGCTAGGACCGGAAAGCTGAACAATTGGGAGGTTTCTTCTGAAGCCGAAATGTTAGGCTGTTCCAGTCTGTGGGTCCCTTTAAGTCAGTGTTTTGGTTTTCAGCCAAGAAGACAGCTGTTGGAAGGAAGTGTTTCCTCACCGAAAGCTGTCAAGGCACAGACATTAAAGGGACAGAGCCCTTTCAAAGTGCAGGCTTATCACCAAGTTTCCTCCCAGGAGCCTCAGCACGATCCCCCTCACAGCCCAGAAGGAAATTTAGACTTTTTATTGTGAAAAACACTGGCTTTCAAGGTCTAAAAGGAGGGTTAGTTACAGCTCCAAGGACAAGGGCACACAGGATTTAAATTGTTTGTGGTGCTTCCCCCACCACCTTCCGAAGAAGACCCAGATAAACGCACACAATAGAACCGCTGAAGGCTTGCAGGTTGTGTACATTCCTAAGGAGGGGCTGCGGAAGGGACCCGCCCTCACCTTCAAGGGCACTGGGCTGGCGAATACAACTCAAACTCAATTAGGTCAGAAATTCCAACTAGGAAACGCAACTGGACCAGCCCTCACTCAAAACCGGAAAGAGGATCCCTGAAAATGTACACAACCACTAATGCACTTGCTGCCAGCTGCTAAAGTGTGTGTGTGGGGGGGGAGTGCCCCCACCACCAGGTCTTTCTGATCCTGACTTGCGTCAGGCACAACGCCGCCTGCTGGCCACGCACCAAGCGCAAATAGCCCACCACCCACGGAGGGCCCACAGTCCTGGAGGTGGAGGAGGGGAGGAATGGAAGCTAAGGCATTCTCCTAACTTTTGGAAGCCTAAGTGGGATTGTGCACAGCCCTCATCTTTTGGGAAATCTTTCCCCTTCCCTGTCCTGGCCTAGAGGGACCTTTCCAACGCACTTAACAGGTTTCACCCTAGTTAGCTTTCCGAGCCAACATCCTGATTGTGCTGGCCACCAACTTTTCCCACGGTGAGGGCAAGCCTAGAGCAAGGATTTCGGAAATTTAAGGGAAGTTATAGCTGGTGCTTCCAGACTCTGTCCGGGAGAGGTGAATAAAATAGGACCACCGGCACGAACCTACGATAACAAAGGGACCGCAGTCTCCCCGACAGACACACACTCCCCGCACCTCCTGCCCCAGGATCCCAAGGAGGCAACAAGGACCCTGAACCAGGCTTTACCTGAGTCGCTCAAGGTGTCCTCTCCGGAGGTACTGAGGGCCTTATGCTCGCCACTGTTGGCTGGACGGCCGCCTGCACGAGCAGGAGCGGCCACCGGGGCAGCAGCCGGAGCAGACACAGTAGTGACCACAGCGCTGGTCGCAGGGGCACTGATGGGGGCAGCGGACACTGGTGCCGGCTCACGCTTGTTCACTGGGAAGGGGAAGACCACGGCGGGGTCCACGCACTCCGCAGCCGGGTGGGAGAGATCGGTGGGCAGGGTGGCCCCGGTGCGGCCAGCACTCGCCGTCCCATTAAGGGCACGGCCCCCGGGGCTGCTGGCACTCACTCCCGGAGCCGGGCAGGCTGTGCCGGCGCCCGGGGGCCCGTGGCCGTGCTGCAGCTTCTCGTTCACCGCACGCTCCAGCTTCTCGCGGGCGGAAAAGCCGCTCCACATACAGTCCTGAAGGATGACCGGGTTAGGGGTGAGACTACTCAGTCCCCCCAGACCGAATGCATCCTCTTCTGCTGGGTTGCCCCACAGATCGGCCTCCGGCAGCAGCATCTCCGTAGCCCAATTCGAGGGCTCCGGGCTGTGCTCTGGGAAGGCGCGGCTGGGCGACAACGGGGGCGTGGGCAGCAGCTCAAACTTCTTCCAGATGTCCTCCCCCGGTGGGGTCGAATCGGGACCGCCGAAGTAGAAGTCATCTTCGTCCGGATAGAAGCAGGGCTGCAGTGAGTCAAACTCGAGGTCTGGGTTCTTGCAGATCATCCCCGGCATGGTGGACGCGGTGCAGCTGGGCATCTGTTCGCCTCCCGGGCGGTGACTGACCACTTTCCTCTCCGCTCTTTTTAATGTGGGGGAGTGCTTCCTTCCCGTGGGGAGCACAGAGTCGCGCCAACCTCCAACACTACAACCAACAGACAGACCAAGAGAGAATGAGCCAAGGGGGGTGGAATGGTGGGGACAGGCAGTGCCCCCCCAATCTCGCCTACAAGCTTCCCAGCCTTTCCCACTGCTCGAGGTGGAGGAAGTTGAGCCTCTCCTCCACTCCCTCCTTTTGTGTACAAGCTGTCTAAGACTGTGGGTGGGAGGGGGCTTGCAGATGCAGGGGGTGGTGTGGCTCCGCAACTTTGGAAACTGCCGTTTCATTCACACAAGGCACTGCCTGGGGGAGGGGGGGCAGTTCAAGCTGCAGATCCCAGCTCTTACTAGCACCATAGCCCCTCTTGCAATAGTGCAGGACCCAACTGCTCAAAGGAAGTCCAGCTACCGGGCACGAGACGGCACTACCTTCCATTTTTGCAGAAATAAGATGCGGGAGCACAAACGCTAACGGGGTTCTGGAAACTTTATTAATTATTAAGGGCCTTTCTCCAAACAGACCAACAACAGACACTTACATATAATCCCCTTCCATACAACGCCTTAATTCTGGCAGATACCCTTGGTGCTCATCTTCTACCTATATCCTATTTTGACCCTTTGCAATTTCCTCCCTTTGGAACCCCCAGTCTCTTCCACCGAAAAGAGGCTGAACCCCCATTTCTAAGAATGGTGCATGGGCGCCCGCGCGATGAGGGTCGCCGGAGAGAATCGCGTCCCCTAAGCTGGAGCAGCCGTGACCTACATTATCACTCAGCGTCCTAGCTTCGCCTAACCCCTTTTCCTTCCTTCCCGCGGCACCTTTTGGAGAACGCCAGCTTCGGGTGGGGACGCACCGGCTCCCAGTCAGCTCACACTAAGACAAATCTTGTAGAGCCTGGCGAATTTCTTTTCGCTAAAGCTATCTCTCTGCCCGGGCCGGGGCTGTAAAAAGGATTAGGGCGGGTCTCTTCCAGCCAGGGTGCCTACGGGTGCTGAATTAGCTTTTCAGGGAAAGCCCCCAGATGGTTTTGTTTCGAAAGCAGACAAGGTGTGTGTCCCCCACACACTAAAAAAAAATAAAATATAATATAAAAAAAGAAAAAACCCGGGCGCCGGGTGCAGAGCCCGGTTCAGGGGCTCGCCTAGGCGCAGCGCTCCGGCGTTCCCCCGGCGCTCGGAGCTTTACAAGTACCGCTTCTTACCTCCCGCAGACTGCCGGGGATCCGGAGGCGACTCGGCTCTGGGGTCTCCGGGTGGGCTGAGGGGGCGGCGGCGGGAGGGGGTTGTCCTCGGGCGGCTGCAGTGTGTGCGCGCTTACGCCTGGCTAGCGCTCGTTCAGCTCCAACCCAGTTCCCAGGAGCCCCCCGCATCCACCCAGCGCGTCCAGACAGATGACTGTCACTGGCTGCGCTTTGAAGCTCGGGGGATATTATTAACTGAAAAAAATCTGACACACCCGGGGGGCGGGGAGAGAAGGGGGCTGTGGCGCAGACGAGGGGGAGGGAGAAAGGCAGAGGCAAGCGCTTTTACCCCGCCCTCTTGATTTCCATAAAAATCAGGGGAGGCGCCAAAGCCTTTCGCGCCAAAAGCCATTTGCTTTTTTTTTCCTTCCTTTTTGCAGACTGCAGGCTGCAAAGCTGGGAAACCCGGGGCGTGCTCCTCCCGCCCTTTTGGACCCCCGGGCTTGCATCCGACGCACTCAGCGAGCCAGCTGCGCGCAGAGCGGTGTTGCGCAGCACCCACCCCATGGACCTGGGCATTACTTGGCTTTCCTTTTTCTTTTTTTTAAACCTCTGGTTGTGTGCTGGGGGGCGTGGAGGGGGGGGGGAGGTTTCTAGCCTGGTCCCTGCTTGCACTGCCTTTGTGTGTGTGTGTGTGTGTGTGTGTGTGTGTGTGTGTGTGTGTGTGCAAGCTGAGCTCCAGGCCAAAGTCGAACAAGGCTGGCTGAGGGACTGTTCGTGTGTGATCTCGAAAGAAGGAGACTGGAGTGCAAAATGGGAGGCCGAGGACGCGCCCACGTAGGAATGAGACCGCAGGAGGTTTCTAGTTTCAAATTGAAAGGAAGGGGCGCCCCCCTTGTTTGAAAATAAATAAGTGCGGGCTACGAGGGTGGCGCCGCATCGCTTTCTTCGGCCGAAGGCGACACCTCGCGGAGACGGAGAGAAAGCGGAGTCGCACCGCTGGGCCTCGAAGTGGGGCCACCCCCGCGAGATAGTTAGCGAATCCTCGGTACCGCGGGAGGGGTTGTGAAACGCTAGGAGACTCGTCCCCCACCTTTCCGAAGCCAGCGTTCACTAAAATTCCGGCCAACTGGACTCGGTGTAAGCAGAAGGAACTACACAGTCCACATCGCCCAAAGTACCTCTCAGTAAACCTTGAGTTCACATTGAAGGCATCAAGGAAAGCCACCATCAACTTGGCTTCTTTGTGTCCCCGTTGCCTCACCAAGCGGTGTTAACAGAAAAAGCGTGACATCTTATTAAGACCTGACGGGGTGTATGCATTTTTCATTCACCCCGTGGGGGGCATTTCCCTCCCTCCCGTCTCACTTCCGTTCAGGCAAACATTCTATTTCTTTCCGAAATGATGGGGTTAAAAATAACCGCTCCTGTCCCCCAAAACTTTCCAATAATGGCCCAGGCCTCCTGTGGCGCCTCTTTCACTGCCACATTCCCAGTGGGGTGCGATTCACTCTTAAAAAACATTCCCTTAAGCTTGTTTGTGGGGAAGCTTCTCCATTTCCCTCTAAATTGGAAATGACACCCCTCACTCACCTCCACTGAGGAAGAAGAGAATGCTAGTGAATCAAGTTCAAAATGCTGTGTATTAGCATGTGTGAAGGTTTTCCCATCTGCCCCTGAATGCCTACATAATTCTGGGGACCAAGGCAGATTCTAGGAAGTAGCCCATGAATGGGGGGCGGGGAGATCTCCCTTTCGAGCTCCTTTATTATTTGGATCACATATGTAAAAAGCCATTTACCCTTGCAAAAGCCTTTAACACTCTCATTTCCACACCCCTGGCCTTTTCCATTCCAAGCCCTCCCATGGCATTCTCCCCCAGGTGTTGGCTTTCTGAAACCTTTGCCTCTGTTTGTAATTAGACGTACACAGCAGGAGCTATAAGGTAAGTGCTCCTGGATGTTGATGGAGGAGGGTGTCACTGAAAGGGACCCTTTAAGGAAGCCAGATCTGGCAGGTTAGTTTTGTTTATTAGAGACACAGCGGGAGAGAGATAGGTGTGACTCCAGAACTAGCTCTTTTTAAATTCTTGTTTCTCTTTTTGTTGTTGTTGTTTGCTGGCTTGTGTGTGTTTGGGGGGGGGGGGGGCTTTCTGTTTTTGAAATGGGGTCTCGTAGAACCCAAGATTGCTTCAAACTCCTTGTTTTAGCAAGGATGACCTTGAACTCCTCCTGATCCTCTTGCCATTACCCAAATTCTAGGTGTACCAGCCTGTGCCTTCACATGTGGCTTCCAGAATCTTCTTCAGAACCTCAGCACCAGATGCATAAAGGGCACTTAGACATGGCTGCCTGAACTCCCTCAAGGAGCAGAAGGACTAGGAAAACAGGCCAAGACTGCCCAGTTAGTATGGATAAAAGTCTTCCCTCTTCACCGTTAAAAGATAGGACGTTTCAGAAAAGAGAGACCAGGGAGAATGACCTGGTTACTCTGCATGCCTCTGAGCAAATCGTTTATCTTTCTTGGGCCTTAATCTCGAATCTCCTGCTCTTAAGGCAAACCAGCAATTACTGAAATTACCAGCAAGTCTGAATCTGAAGGTTAGAAGAATGATAAAAGTCAGCAAGTATTTATTGGTACCTTCATTGGCAGGTAGAAAGATAAAAGACTGTTCATGGAGAAAAATTACCTAATAGCCCTTCTTGGTGGACTCACCGAGAAGCCCAGCCATTCCTCTTACAGGAAGCACTCGAAGTTTTCAAGGGACACACATAAACGAAAGGAGTCCTTGGCAGGCTTCGAAGCCAAGGCTTAGTCCCACGGCTTGAGACCCAACAAGGATCAGGATGCTTCGTGGATCTCACCTACAACAGGAGGGTAAAAGGTTTCTCATAGCTAGGAGCATCTTACTGGGTCCTAACTTTCCCTGTCTAAATAAAGGTATAGTCTTTTGTGATGGTGCATACTTAACACTTCAGCATTCTGGGGCTGGGTCAGGAAGACTGGGAGTTGAAAGCCAGCCTGGGCTATTCCCAAGATCCTGTCCCAACAAAACAAAACACAGCCCTGTAAAGTTTGCTTATTAAATAATTTTTTAAATCCCTGGGAACAGGCTGCCAAGATGGCTCAGCGGCTAAGGGTGTTGGCTGCCATGTCTAAATACCTCAGTTCGGTCTCCAGGTGGAAGAGAAAACAGATTCCCGCACATTGTCCTCTGACCTCTACAGGCATTTTAGTGCCATATGGGTCACGCATATACACATTCTCAATTTAAAAAAAAAACACTGCTGATTATTTGGATTAATTGTCCGTTCATTTCTTATAAAGGTTTGAGGAAAGAGGAGGTGGAAGATGAGGGAGTGTTATATGGGAAAAAAGAGGAGGAAGAGGAGAAAAAAAATTGCCATTCTGTATTTGTATTGCACACAAAAAGTAAACTATGAAAATAGTTCAGATTTAAGATTTAATAGCAAGAAGTAAAACTACCAAAGAAGATAGATTCAGAATAGGAAATACACTTCATTAAATAGAAATGTATGGGAGTCTCACAAAATATGAGGCTTGAAGAAAGGGCAGATGACAGAAACGCATGCAGTGTCCTCGAGCTACCTGGGGTTCTGAGGAGCTGAGGGAAGGAAACCTGGGCTGGTAACGCCGTCTTCTCAGACCGATAAAGTCTCAGGTATTATTAATGCTGTCTGGAAGCGGCCCACAGAGTAGGTCATGGAAAGTCTACCTTGGCTGGGTGTCACAGAATTAATCTCCACTGGGAGATAAGAAGCCTGGCGAGTAGATTGAGAACAGCTGAGTTACCTTTGGAGGATGTCTTTATGGAGATAAGGGCTACGCAGAACAAGCTGTGCCTACACTTGCAATTTACCGCTCCATTACCCTTGAGTTCATCCACACTCAAGAGTGTCATATTTGGGATGGTACTTCCCAAGTGCCCTCAGAAGTCAGGACTGTACTCCCAGTGCATGAGGGCTCCTCTAAACCGAGTGATGGTGGGGAAGCAGTCAGAGAGAAATCTTCCAGGAGATGAACAGGTAATTTGCCAAACAGGAAATGAAAAGTGAGTACAGCCGTGAGAGGTACAAATTCCCCAGAGTCCAGACAACACAAATGAAATCTCAAGACTAGCAGTTCGGGTCTAGCGTATTGTCTCCAACTGATGGTGAGGCTGGAGAGTGGGAGATAGAAACCCTTTCCTGTGCCGTTGGTGCATCTGCCCCAAGAGGAGAAATAATTCCACTCTCAAACTCACCCAATAAGCGATAATAAAGCCAGGGCTCTTGAAACGGGTCAGTGGGTAAATGCGCCTGTTGCCAAGCCTAGCACCTTGAGCTTGATCCCTGGGTCCTACATTGTGGAAGGAGAAAATTAAAGTTGTCCCATCCCCAACAAAATAGATAAAAATATAATGTAAACTAGTTTTTTAAAAAACTGAGGATGGTGGAACCTATGTGTGACATCAGCACTTGGGAGAGAAAATCTGGAGGATACTCAAGTTTAGGCTAGTGTGCTGTCTATAGCTAGATCCCGTCTCAAAAACAAAAAACAAAACAAAAAACAAACTGAGTCTAGGTTAGTGGCAAACACCTTCAGTAGCAATACTCAGCATTGGGGAGGCAGAAGTACATAGATCTTTGTAAATCTGAGGTTAGTCTAGTCTATACACTGAGATATATCCTAGAAGAGAGAGAGAGAGAGAGAGAGAGAGAGAGAGATCATCAAGAATAAGCACTGCCCCAAAGTTGTCAACAGCAAAAATGCTGTGAGACTTCTCAGTGCCTATCAGCAAGCTAGGTGCTTTGCCTAAAATCCTAACACTAGAAAAGCTGGCTCCAAAGAAATGCAAATTTGGTGTCATACTGAGCTAACTACTAAGACCAGCTTAGGTTATATATAGTGACTGGAAGGTTAACCTGGGTGGTGTAGCAAAATCCCATCTCAAAACAAAAGCTATATACCTGTGAGTGTGTGTGTGCTGGGCCCAGAAAGATGTCTTATTGGGTAAAGCACTTATAAGCCTAGCGACCTGAGTACAATTCCCTGGGGCTTACGTGGTGGAAGGAGAGAACCAACTCCCACAAATTGTCCTTTGATTTCTGTAGGCAAGCTGTGGTGTGAGTGTGATGCCCCTCCCCTCCATTAATAAAGGTATTTCCTCAGGGCCAGCAATCTACGGTACAGT